CAGAATCAAATCTAATTGTAATTACCATTTTCAAGGTAAACAATACTAAGGAGGTACAACATGAAATTCAACCCAGAAAAGTGTGCATTCGGGGTCGGCTCAAGCAAGTTTCTAGGCTTCATGGTGTCTAATCGGGAATCAAGATCAACCCCGATAAAATCAAAGCTATCGAGGATATCAAAGTCATGGATAATGTGAAGGTCGTACAGAGGCTGATCGAGCGCATAGCCGCCCTAGGGCGATTCATCTCGAGGTCCTCAGATAGAAGTCACCGGTTCTTCTCACTTATTAGGAAGAAGAGCAATTTTGCATGGACCCCAGAATGCCAACAAGCCTTAGAAGAACTAAAATGATACCTGTCAATCCCTCCACTACTTCACACCCTGAAAGCGGACGAGCAACTCTACTTATACTTGGCGATCTCGGAAATAGCGGTAAGTGGGGTACTAGTTCGAGAAGAGCAAGGTACGTAATTCCCTATTTACTATGTTAGTGGAACCTTAGGTGAGGTCGAAACTTGATACCCACACTTAGAGAAATTAGTGCTTGCTTTAATAAGCGCATCTAGGAAATTAAAACCATATTTCCAATGTCACCCAATATGTGTTGTAACTACCTATCCCCTCTGTAATATTTTGCATAAACCCGAACTTTCGGGGCGATTGGCCAAATGGGTCGTGAAACTCAGCGAGTACGATATTGAGTATCAACCCCGAACAACCATCAAGTCCAAATCTTGGTAGACTTCGTGCCTGCTTTACGCTAGCCCTTGTACCCGAGGTCAAAATAGAACTGCTATTAAAATCGGGTACATCATCGGGGGTGTGGACTCTCTTCATGTACGGTGCTTCGAACGTGAAAGGGTTCGGGCTGGGCATAGTTTTGAAGCCACCCACAGGTAACATAATTAGACGGTCTATCAAAACTTCGAAGTTAACTAACAATGAGGCTGAGTATGAGGCCATGATTGCAGGTCTCGAGCTGGCTAAAAGTTGGGAGCAGAAGTCATTGAGGCCAAATGCGATTCCCTACTTGTGGTAAACCAAGTCAACAGAACTTTCGAAGTCCGAGAAGATAGAATGCAGAGATACTTGGACAAACTACAGGTAACTTTACATCGATTTAAAGAATGGACCTTACAACACATACCTCGGGAACAGAACAATAAGGCCGATACTTTTGCAAACTTGGGGTCATCGATCAAGGATGACGAACTTAACCTAGGGACTGTCGTACAACTCTCGAGATCAGTAATTGAAGAAGGCCACGCCAAAATAAACTATACAAGTTTGACTTGATTAGAAAAACAAGTACATTGAATACTTAAAGAACGAGAAGTTCCATCAGATCCGAAGGAGTCAAGGACTCTACACACGAAGACATCACAGTTCACTTTGGTTGAGGATGGAACGCTATTCAGAAGGATGTTTGATGGGACATTAGCAATTTGTTTGGGACCAGGAGACACCGACTACGTCCTACAGGAGATTCACGAAGGCACTTGTGTGAACTACTCTGGTGCCGATTCACTAGTTCACAAAGTTATCAGACCATGATATTATTGGGCTGATATGGAAAAGGATACAAAAGAGTTCGTTCGAAAGTGCGACAAATTTCAAAGGTATGCACCGATGATTCGCTAGCCCGGGGAGCAGCTCCACTCGGTCTTATCCCTATGGCCATTCATGAAATGGGAAATGGACATCGTCGGCCCTTTGCCATCGGCCCTAGGTAAAGCTCAGTTTATTTTATTTATGACTGATTATTTTATAAGTGGGTCAAAGCACATGCCTTCGAGAAGGTTAGAGAAAAATAAGTCATAGACTTCATTTGGGACCATATTATATTTCGATTCGGGATGCCCGCCAAAATTGTATGTGATTACAGAAAGCAATTAGTCGGCAGCATAGTGACTAAATTTCTCGAGGATCACAAGATTAAAAGGATTTTATCGACTCCATACCACCCCAGCGAGAACGGACTAGCCGAATCGACCAACAAAACCATCATTCAAAATCTTAAGAAAATACTGATCGACGCTAAGGGAAAATGGAGAGAGATATTGCCCGAGGTTCTTTGGGCGTACTGCACAACATCAAAATCCAGCACAGGGGCAATACCATTCTCTTTGGTCTATGGTGCGGAAGCCCTTATCCTGGACGAGGTCGGGGAACCTAGCCTTAGGTTTTCATATGCAATAGAAGAATCAAATAACGAGGCTATGAACACAAGCCTAGAATTGTTGGATGAAAGACACGAGGCCGCCCTTGTTCGATTGGCCGCACAAAAACAGCGGATCAAAAGGTATTACAACCAAAAAAAACAATCTTCGACACTTTAAAATAGGGTAATTGGTGCTAAGAAAAGCCACCCTCAACACTCGAAACTCGAATGAAGGAAAACTGGGTCCAAACTGGGAGGGACCATATCAGGTCCTCGATATTATCGAAAAGAGATCCTACAAGCTCCGCACGATGAACGGCGAGCAACTACCAAACAATTGGAACATATCACTCCTAAAGCGATACTACTAATAAGGTACGACCTCCTCCATTTTCATTTATATTTTAAACTAACCAATTGTAGGCGTTCAATCAGGAATGGCAATGGATCCTTCAGCACGAAGTCTTTAGGTCTGAAAGCACGCGTTGCACTATTTTTCCCTTAGACCGGTTTGTTCCCAATTGGGTTTTTCGGCGAGGTTTTTAACGAGGTAGCCATTGATAGTTCTAACTTAGAACAATATTCAATAGTATCCGAGGCTTCTTTACAATCAACCTCGAATACTGGGGGGCATTACCCTTGAATGTCAACTTTGTTGCAAGGAAATTACTTCGTAACGGCGGGGTCTCAATAGGTAAATTTTGTAAGGGCCAAACGGTCGAATGAACCGTGCCCATATAGGTTACTCGAGACCTAACATCAAACATGTATGCATGTATAATCATCTATTGAAAGAAGTATTTTTCCTTGCCAATATCTCATGCCTTAGAAAAATTTTCTACTTCATAATTTCATACTCGATCTATTGTGAAAACAAGCTTAAGGGATGATCACAACCAAAGTTCGAACAATTAACCCCCCCCCCCCCCCCCCCC